GAGCCCTGGGGAACACCGCTCGTGACCGAGCGAACTTCAGAAGCTACACAATGTGCAGTATCCCATTTCCCTCAAATAATTGGTATCACAGTGTTTAGTGTCAGTCATTGCATTTCTCCACACTTTTTGATGCTTATTCTTACGTAGATGTATGTATGCAAGTGTCATATTAGTGAGATTTTGAGCTAGCTGGGGTTTTTGTTGTAATTTTCCCCTGGCTTTGGCCATGTTGAAGGCTTTTGTAAGCTGTAAGGCTCTTGCTTGTGCCTTCCTTTTCCTGTGTAGAGTTCATAGAGTATGTGTCAGGGTAAACAGCTGGTGCCAAAGGCAAACTCTCTTTAGCATGTACAACAGTGGATAAACAGTCTTCATCCCAGAGAATGTTCTAACGCATCTATATATTTCTATACTGTTGCTGAAGTGGGTTTCTATATGGCTGTTTCTGGAGCATTGGCTTAGCTACTGGTTTTATTTGTGATTTTTTTTTTTTTTTCTTCGTTTGGTTCTCACTGGTGTATTTCTAAAAATGTTTTAGTTTAGCAAAAACAATAGGCAAGAGTACCTAGTGTTCTTCAGGGCCGTGTCTGGCCTTGGTAGAGTTCTTACATTTAACACCAACACAACAGTCTTTTTCTGTCTCCGAAAAATAATTAGAAAAAAAAGTATTTGCTGGGTTAATGATATCCAGAAACTAATAAGGATGGGTCAGCTTTTCATGCAAAATCAGTGTGCCAAGAGTCAGGTGGATTTTTGAGAGCTCCTGCACATTCAGACCCTGATCTTCAAGTGTTCATTTGTTTAATCTTATTGTGAACAGCTTTCTTTTTGTATTTAATCTTATTTTGTACAGCTTTTTGTACTTCATGGAAAAAAGATATGAGGTTCACTGTGGATGAATACCAACTGGGCTTCAATAACTATTTAATAATTGGCATCTTGTTTATTTGGACACTTTTAATTTTCAGTACAAAGTTGTAAACGTTCCCCTTGTGTTTAGTTTTCATGTTTCATTCCACTGTGGCCATCCCTTTCCTTATTTAGGGATTTCCCAGGCCACCCGTTTGCCTGCTGAAGATCATGCAATTTCTCTGTGGCAATTAAGGCAGATCGTTGCATGGAGGAACATTTAGGAATCCACTTAAGGAAATTTTTAACACTTTTTTTTCAATGCAGTTCATTGCTGGGGATAAGGAAGCTCAGGCTGGCATATTGCCACCAGGCATTTCCTTGTGGTTCATTAGAAAGTGTTTGTGAACCATCGGTTCAGTAACCTTTCTTACAGAGGTTTATTGCAAGACTGCATGAGCACATTGAAATTGATGGGTGACATGTCATTTGCATGATTAACAATTTTGTGTGTGGTTTTTCTCTTTAGGGTGGATGACATTCCTCCAGGAATATCACTGCTTCCTGATAACATTCTTCAGGTCCTCAGGCTCCAGCTGCTACAGTGTGTCCAGAAAATGTCAGATGGACTAGAAGAGCAGCAGCAGGCTCTGTCACTTTTACTTGTGAAATTCTTTATCATCCTTTGCAGGTATTTGTTCTGATTGTTACCTCAGCAAGGCTATTGCTTTGTTTAAGAAATCTTGATGCAGCCTATAAATATAGATTCTAATGACACATACAATGTGACTTGATGCTTTCCAGTAGAAACAGAGAAATGCCACTTCTCACAATCTTCAAAATAAAGGAAGAGAGACTAAAAGGGAGAGAGGGGAGCAACGCAATCATCTTAGCAATAATGTTTGCCATGAGAAATGGAATAGAAGGGGGTTAAACAGTAAATTCCTTGTAATTACATAAGATATATCTATGGGAATTCAAGATATGGTGTACCTGATATAAGAAATACTTTTAAAAGAAAAGGCACACTCTAACAAGTGTTGGATATGAAATAACTTGAGAAAGAATTGTACAGGAAGAACTAGTTCACATTCTTAACATGCTTATAATTCCATAAACTGCTTAGGAAACTGACTTATTACACTATTAATGCAACTGGCTTCCGCCTGAAACTTAGGCCTTATTTTGTAATTCTGTTGAAGCAGGTGAATAAACTGTTGTTAGGGATCTATTCCTCATTATTTCTTCAGTCTTCTATTGTAAACTGCATTAAGAGAGGAAAGGCATAAAATATAATAAGGAATCTCCTTTTCTGAGGAGTATTTGAAGCAGCTTTTTTTGAGTCCTTTGGCTCTCCTTACCCCCGAAACAATACAAAGGGTTACAGGGCAATGTTTAAGTATCCTGGAATATTAAATATAAGCTGAGTAGATGGTGGTAATGTGTTTCTGAATTACAAACTGTTGTCAGTCTTATTTAATTGCTGAAAAGTTCTCCTTATGTCATCACTTCAGTATCTGATCTTTGTGACTTGTCCTCAAGACTGAGAAATAACATGTGCATGCTATTTCTTTGTTGTGTTGATTTATTTATGTTCTAAAATAATTTATTAGATGTTTGTTTTCCTTGGGAGAATTTAAAGTGAATAAATGCTTGTAGGTAATATGTTTGCTAAAGTTTTAGAAAGTGTATGTGCTAGTAGTGTGGGAGAAGTGGAAATTACTGTCTTTGTTATCAGATGCCATTTCTGAGCCTATTTAGAGTGTCCTGGGAATCTGCTTAACCTCTGAAACCCCAAATTCCAGATAGAATTGGCCTACAGCAGAGTGACTTGAGCCTTTCTTTTCCTTCCTGTTAGGAAAAAAAAAAACTTGTGAGCTCTGTTACTGTGACAGAAATAAACATTTGAGTACATGCAGTCTTTTGGAGAGTATTTTTGAAACGCTGATATACTTTTGTATGATTATAGACAGAATGCTAAAACAAACATTGTTTGAACTCGCCTCAGATGGTACACTGTGAACATTTCTGTGGTTTTTATGTTGTCTTCATAGAAATTTGGCTAATGTGGAGGAGATTGGGATGTGTTCGTACATTAACCATGTTATCACCATGACTACATTATACATTCAACAGGTATGTGGTTAACACTTCTCATCTGTTATTTTGCCATCCGATACTTCCTGTTCCTGCTCATGTGATCTACTTTTTCAATAATAGTGTTGTGTGGGGAACAGTTTGTGGGCTCAGAACTGTTTTGGAGGAGATCAAGATTAATTTTCAACTTCTAGAAATCTTCTGACCACAGCGTTCTTTTTTTTCCTCAGTTAAAAAGCAAAACAAAGGAAAAAGAAGTGGCAGATCAGACCCCCATAGAAGAATTTGTGAGACATGCATTGGCTTTTTGTGAAAGTCTCTACGATCCATATCGAAACTGGAGGCAGCGAATTGCAGGGTATGTGTGGACTAGGACAGGATTATAAATACTGTGGTTTATGATAACTTTAGATAAACAACATGTGAAGTTTCTGACAGAACTACTGCGGCCTGATGTCAAACTAAAATAAAAAGTAGTTACATGTATATTCTTCTGGTGTTGCATTTTACAACTGTTAGAATCTACTATCTGAACAGATAGCCTTGAGCACTTGATACTGTGTTTTAGTTTTTTTTCCCTGAAGATACGCTCTTAAGAATAGCATTAATGAAATAGGTTTTTCTACCAGAATTAATATCATGAAGCAGGCATGCTTGAAACTGACCTTCATTGCCACCAAAGTTGTCAGAGTACTAATATCTCCTGTTCCATTTAGTGGAAAGCTGAGTTGTGAGGCTTTTTGAAAGGTGGGAAGTGTAGAAAGCCAGGAAGTGGGCTTTCCAAGATGCTTAATTTCTGTCATTCTAGGCACAGGCCCTCTTCTTTGAAACTGCTAGTGATTCACTTCATCTGCTATAACTGGCTCTTCAGAGACCTCTTATAAATTTCTGTGAGATCTTTTTCATGTACAGTTCTCCCTTATTAGTCCCAAATTAATTACAGTAATGTTAAATGTACATAGTCTTGTATAGTTAACGTGTTTTTCTGCTGTGTGTACAAGGGCTGCAGTTGTTTGCTCTTTGCTGCTATCATTCAGAGCTGCTTTTCCTTTAGATCCTCAATTTTATTTCTGTCAGGACCATTTTGACATGCATCAAATATTGGACCTGTGCATGCATAGAGAGATATCTCATGTTACCTAGTCTTGTAAAACCTCAGGTCCATTCTCACAGCATACATTCTGTAGAATGCTGCATTTGTGCAGCAAGTCACTCATCTGACTCTGTGCAAACAGAGTGGGGATCATGTGAGCTGTGTGCCTTGGCTGCTGGGGTTTCTTTGTAGCTCGAAACCTGCAGTATGCCATAATTCTGCATGGACTGCAGGTTTCATGAGGTTGTTACGGAAACAAAAGATAGTATTTTCAATAGCAGCTTGAATCATTGTGCACAAAGTTTTAAGGAGCGTGTAAGGATCACAACTTCTGGTATTTTTGTGCAACATGAGAATTCCTCTTTTCTAGGACAGAGCATGAATTGACACCAGTTCTCACATATGGCCTGCCAGCATACTGCTAAGCTGTTTCCAAATTTAGTGTAGGTAATGCCAGCACATCTCATGGTATCTTAGGTAGAGTATAAGTACTCAAAATCAGTGAGAAAAAAAAAAATCTGCACCCATGAAGGTGCAGAATTTGGCAATGAATCAATATGATCACACCACAGAAGTGTGTTATGCTTTCTGAAACTGGGTATGATTTAAAGTTAAAACAAAATTAAATTTGAGGGTATACTAAGAGGTGTTTGGTTGTAACTGACCAACATGAAGGTCCTTCCATTGCTTTCTCCTTTCAAAAACTGACCCGTTTTTCTATATTGGTGGAACAAGGAAGCCAGAAGGAATGGGGTAGGCAGACGTGGTTGAATTAGGGCAAAAGAAGTTATTGAAAATCACAGTACAGATATGTTGCATCTTTGAAAATAAGTTTGTAAGTGTATCAGTAGAACTATATCCCTTTAATTTGATGGTCTGCGCCCCCCCCCCAACTCCATAATAATGTTTTGTGCCCATTTCAAATTGCATGGTTAAGAAATTTGGCAGTCTATCTGGTGGCTTAGTTACAATAAGGAAGGACTAAATAACAGATTGCTGGCTTTTTTTTTTTTTTTTAACTAAACCATATTGTAAAAACTTAAGGTATTTCTAGGAGCAGAACAGTAAATACAGGATTAGCTGTGATTAATTTTTTCTGGGTGAAATACTACTTTACTATTTTTTTTTGATCCTGTAGGCAAAAGATAGCTCCTGATTTTTGGCAGTGTCTTCTATTATGAAGTCATAAATTAGTAAGTCATAAACAAAGGTATCATATCTAATTTCTTTGGTGTATCTTTTTTAATGTAATTGCAGACGTTTCCTTAGTACAGTTGAAAAGAGCAGACAGAAGTATAAACCAGCTTCCCTCACTGTAGAGTTTGTCCCTTTCTTTTACCGTAAGTATTATCAATAGCATGTTTAAAAATAGTCATCTTTGGAGGAGTGAACGTAGTAATTCCAAGTTCCTTTCCCCTGAGAATGCCTGATAAATGTAAAAGCCCTTTACTTGCTTTCTGAGGCTGAATGAAGAGGGTTGCTTTGTCTGCTTGTTTTTTGCTCTGAGCATCACCATCTTGCCACTCTTACTCATCTTTGAAAACCTGTTTGTTTTTTTTTCAGACTATCTTTCAGTGCCTAACATGGTTTAATAGGGTTTGTTCTGTGAATTGCCAACTTTCCCATTTATCGGAGTACATATAGTGATTGCACGTAAGATCCCTGTAGCAAATGTAATGATAACTCGCATGGAAAAATAATCTTAGGAAAGTGTTCATGCATTTTTGTCTCTTAATACGATTTAACAGCTAGAAAGAAGGAAACTCTGTGCTATCCAACTAGCAAATGCTCCTTGGATTGCAGTTTGGGAAACTGCTCTGTTTTGTCTCTGCTTAAGTCATTAAATATCATGATGGCTACTTTGGAATTAATGTGTTCTTACTATTACAGATTGCCTGTGTGAAAAAGGAGGACTTATGTGGCCATGTTCTGTACTTAAATCTTAGGAAGGTGGGATGCCCAGCTAGTTTGTCAGTTTAGAACACCAAAGTGCTAGTGCCAACAGAATTGAAGCAGCGGGAATATGCTGGAGGGATGGGGGTATGAGTGAAATCAGCCCTTTTTGCAGCTATCTGTTAACTCAGCCTTAATTGAGGATAAAAAAGGAAGGTTTTATTCCTAGAGTGGTAGCATTTATGAATTTAGTTTCTCTAGGTTTGAGTTACCTACTCCTCCTGTTCCTTGAGATTCTCTCCCTGTGTACGTAAAATAGGCTAGTTGCCAAAAAGACCAAAAAGCTGATGCCAGTAAAATGCCATTATCTTTGTGCCAGACCACTGGAAACCCACTCTAACGGCTGCTACTAAGGAATGTCATCTGCACGTTCTTTCCTCCCCATTCAATGCATTGCACTCTGATTCCTCCTAAATCCCTTAAATATTATATACGGTGACTGAGCTACAAGTCTACTAATTAATTGGCAGATACTCATCTGCTGGTTGGCCAGCCGGCAGGAAAGATAGAACAAGAAATTGCTGAGCATGTGCTTTAGACATTCTGCCATGGCAGCACTAATTTGAGGCTTTTTTGGTCTACCCAGCCTAATGATTTATTCACAATCTGCTAGGTACTGTGCTTTTGGATTTGTCTGAGGTTCCCCAAAAGATTCAGAGGCTATAAGTCAAGGGAGTGGTGGGACTAGCAGACTAACGGTGCGATCATCTAAGCTTTTTTTCCTTTGAAGACCAGATTTAAAAAATAGCTGTGCAATTTTCTTTTAAAACAGGCTTATACATTCAGTATAGTCAGAAATCTTACTTGCCAATAATTGGTAATTGTCTTAAAGGTTATGTTATTATTTTAATGAATGTAAAATTCCTGCAACTTCAGTTTCTATTGTTTAAAGTCTCAGTTTTTACAAACCCAAGTAATTATCAGTTCTATCTGATAAAGTTATTGGAAATTTTACGATGGTTAATTCCAAATAAAATAATCCTTTGTAGTTTGTTGCAGCTGCTTTGAGTCTAGTGTTATTGCTATAGCAACAATATCCAGGTTGTATCTATTGCTAAGAAGAGTTCCTGAGGCTGTTTATAACTAATTTATATCAGATATAGCATGAGAAGAGATGCAGGATAATTGTCTTTAAAGAGACTACTGCTAGAAAGGTTACAGACCTGCACAAGCTTTCCTAGGAAGTTTGGTTTAAACGGAGCAAGCTCAGGAACTGTTTTTCTGAGCTACGTGCACTGCATATGTCATTAGAGTTTCTGTGCCAAAATTGCTCTAACCTTCGTCATGCTTGCTCACTGCTTGTGTGTTAGCATGTCCTTCTATTTCTCATGAGTATGGACAAAAAGGGCTCATTTTACATTATGGATCAGATCAACAGTTGTTGTATGACTATAGTTCTGTCAGACTGCGTGAAAAGTTTTATGCAAGCTGAAGGTCTGGCCCTGTGAATTCCTGATTAATGTGGTCTTGTCGTGTTACTTGGATAATTCTGGAGTTGATGTATTTGTGTCTGGTTTACATCAAAGAAAGTGGAGATTATATAGTTGAAAATTTTTAAAAATTTGCATATGACAGGGAGTAGAGGAGCTTTTTTTTTATTATTTCGTTTGTTGGTGGGTTTTTTGAGAGGAAAAACTTAGTACAATTGATATGGCCAGAATAAGGAATCCTTCTCGTTTTTATTTACTGCAATCAGAATGCTTTCAAGAAAGTGAACATCTCAAGGAAAGCTTAAAATGTTGCCTGCTACATCTCTTTGGAGCTATTGTGGCTGGTGGTCAGGTAAGGATGTTCTAAACTCTTCAGCTGCTGACGCCTCCAAATGTCTGTTCATTGTTTAAGGCTTATAAATACCCCATAACCCATAAATGAGAATAATTTATTACTGACTATGAATTGTTTGTTTGTCTTACGAAGTTTGGGGTCATTCTGTGCAATAGTATCTAAATGCTAAAAGCTAGGTCCTGCTTTCAAATAACAGTAGAAATTTGCTGTCTATAATAACTACACATTCATATGAACTGTAATATTTTCATATCATAAAGAAAAAATGTGGGTCACTAGATTAGGAATTTCCACCTGCAAAGATGTTAGTTTTGTATCAACACATGAAATTCATCTAGCTTACTTCCCAATGTTGGAAGCAAGCTGTTACAGTAAGAGGCACAGGGCCTTTATAGCTTGGAAGCTGTTTAAAATCTTTGAAAGAATGTGAAGAAAAGAGGATGTTCATCATCAGCAAAGCCAACATCCACTCTCTTGGCTGGCTTCTGTAATGTGCTACTTGGTCTGGTCACTGCAAATGTTACTTCTGATGATCCAGAAGAGAGAGCGTTTTTAAATGTTGTCAGGGAGCAGCAAAGCCCGGCACTGCTCCACCAGGGAAGGCAAGCTGAGACCGGGCATGATGACCAGGCAGAGGCACTTGACCTCACTGGCAAAAGGTGCAGTCTCACTATACCTGAACAAGGTGATCAGAGCAGTCTGGTGGTAGTAACCAGCAGGTCTGGTAGACTAACCAGCCCAGATCACTAGACAAGTCTGTAGTGATGAAGCCTGAGATCAAGCCAGGAAGTCTGGTCAGCACATCAGGGTGGGGATTTGGTCTAGTGATGGTAACTAGGGTCAGTGAAGAGTCCAGTGGTTGCCAGGCCCATCCGTAGTGATGAGGCAGGTCTAAGATAAAGCCGGGTAGTCCAGTCCGTGGATCTGGTTCAAGACAGTACATGGCCAAGGCGTGGGCATGGCTGCAGAGTAAAAGGTTGGTGGTAAAGCTTAGGCAGGTAAAAGGTTGAGAGCCGCAGCTTGAATGCAGCTCCTTAGAGAAGGCAGGGAGTCCCTGGCAAGGCTTCTCAAAGCTCTCTACAAGGCTGGGCTCCTGCCCCAGATTTAAGGTGGCCCTGAGCCTACGCAGTCAGATCCCCAGGAAGAGAGGTGAGGGAAATGCACTCAGGGCCCAGACAAATGCTTGCTAATTATTATGTTCTTTTCAAAAATTTTAAAGTATCATGAATCTCATGATTTAGAATGAAAATTCAAGTGAAGGTTTACCTAGAAATAGCAGTTTATCAAGGCTACCTTATAAGAATTTTATAACATGCATTTAAATTATATTTCCTTTTCCCTGTAAGCATTCTCTTTGAAAAGAAAGAAAGCCTAGTTAAGTGAACAACAGAGGATGCATTTCATCTCTAGCCATCAGTATGATCCAAGTAGAATGTTTCATATTTATTTAACAATTACAGGGCATTAACAGACATAAAAATGCATGTTGCAGGATTCAGATAACTCGGATAGAAACTGCTGGTTTGAAGAGGTTTGATTTATTTATTTATTATTTTTTCCTTAATCACTTTTTTCCCCCCATGGGTTTCAGAGGAATGCTCTTCAAGCAGTATCTCCTGCCACCATGGAAGTCTTGATGCGTGTTTTAGCAGACTGTGACAACTGGGATGACAGGAACCCTGAGGAAGTGAGCAGGAAGGCAGAGCTGACTCTGAAGTGCCTGACAGAAGTTGTCCATATCCTTCTAACCAGCAGTTCTGACCAGCGGCAAGTGGAGACGAGTACAATATTGGAGAACTATTTCAAGTTGCTTAATTCAGACCATTCAGCTTTACCTAATCCAAGGCGATGCAGGCAGTGGGAGAGCAGGTTCATAGCACTACAGATCCAAATGCTGAGTGAGTACCCAATTGTGCAGTTCCTTTAAATATCTCTTGATAATAACTCCGAAGCAGGTAATGATTGAACCATAATAGTAATATAACTGAATGTTCTACCAAAAAATGTTCACTTGGCTAAGCAATTGAAAAATTTCAAACATTTCTTCATTGACATTATTTTGGATGTATTCTTATTTAATCACTCACTACAAAAAAAACAGAAGAAACCATATTGGATTGCTACCATTTAACCAGTGTCAAGGTTCACAGACTGCCAGTCTCCATTAGAAAAAAACAATCTTTTCCTAGGCTACAGCTGACACTCATCAGCACCTTAATAATTGCAGAGTAAGATGAGTCTGTAATAAAATACCCATGTGGTGGCTGTTTTGTGATAGTTGGCATTTCAAATGCCATTATTGTAAACATTGGCCGAAGGTGATGGTCTGAAACAGTTGGGTTTAAGTCATTGGATAAGAATTCAGGATTTGGAATTTTTTCCACTTTGATGTTCAGAATGGGAAATACAAATAAAGGTATTTCTTTTCCCAAACTTCCAAGAAAACTGAGGAATAGTATTGAGGTGATGAAGAATGCTTACACTATAAGGCTGCTGTAGAATGCAGAGTAATTGCTTGATGAGGAAACAAATGTTTGTGTGCTTTAAATAAAAGGCATGCTGCTTATGCACTCACAAATGGGAGTGACTTTAGACAGAGCCTCAAAGCAATCGAAGACACTTGGTAGCTGAATTCTTTTCCAGATGTAGTAGCTTACATGATAATTTTTACATCATCAAAATGTTTAGCTTTAGGCCTGGTACTCTGTGCTTAAAACACACATCATTGATCAAAGAATTCACAGCATATGGTTTGTTGTATAATTTTTTCCCCATGTTTATTATGTAATGTGCAGAAAAAATGCTTGATGGATTTGAGAAGTGTTTTGTCTTTGATGCCAGTTCTGTTTTAATTTTATAGATACCATCACAGCCATGTTAGACTGCACAGATAGGCCTGTTCTGCAGGCAATTTTCCTTAACAGTAACTGCTTTGAGCATCTCATTCGACTGTTGCAGAACTGCAAGGTAAATTTTTCCCTTATCAGCATATTTTAACAAAACCTGTCTTGTAATATTGCAGGTATATTAATTACCTTTATATCTTCCTTCTGAATTAGATGCAATTTTATACTACATACTGGAAGTAAAACTTCGGAGCAGTTAGAGCCCCTAATGCCATGAAAGATCTGAAAGATCCAAGTTGCTCTAAAATCTTTTTTTATTCCTAATGAATAGAGGTGTTTCTTGTCTGTCTTGTGGTTAAAGCAATGAATGCCTATTTTGAGTCCTGAGCAAAATACCTTTATAGACCCCACTCAGTCTCTAAAATTTGCTGAGGTTGTTACTGGAATCAACTGCCCCGTCTCCTTTTTGTGGTGTTTTTGGGGTTTTTTGTTAATATTCTGTCACTGGATTGCTGAGAAGTCACTTACAACTGCTGCCAGATGGAGGTCTGAATTCTAATTTCAGAGGCATATTTTTCAATTTAAAAAAACCTTGCTGGTGTGCCTTTGTAAGTGTTTCAAAATATTTGAGTCTTGTGTAGCTGACATAAAACATGAGCTCAAGCTGTTTCAAATGTTCTTCGATTGTTCTTCTCTGTCTACATAGGATTTAGTGTTTACATAGATGTGTTTTCATCTCAATCCCAGATGGTCATAATTTGCAAGCTAGTGTCTTCCACTGATTGCTTTGTAGATTTCATTTTTCCCTGTGCAAAAGAACGTAGATATGATGTAACTCTGTAGAATATTTTATTTCTCTTTTTGTGATATGTTGGTGGCATAGCTATTTTGAGCTCTTCTAATGCTAGATAATTTGATGCTAGCAACAGTATGCAATTTGATTCAAATCCATTTAGATTTTGGATTAGAACATATTTCAGTGCAGTGATATACTAAAAATAAATGTGTTTGGATTATGTCTTAACTGTAGTTATAATCAGTGGCAGAATGCCAACTGACTTGAAGTGTTTTGAATAGTGTTTGTAGTTTTTTTATCTCCTCCTGAAAATACTTTGTTTGGCCTTTCCATTCTCCTCCTCTTTTGGGAATCTGTGCCTATTTTTGTACTGACCTTGTACTCTATAAGAAATTTCGTTTTTACTTATCAAGCAGTGTGATGTTTACCTGTTCATGGAGACTCTAGCTATGTTCCTATGCTCTCATATAAACAAGTGGTGGAATTTAAGAAAGCAGGAACAGCTACTCTATTTTTGCAGCTTGCTCCTTTTATTTTTATTCTGCCTGTATGTATGTCATAAGATATGTTCTTTTGAGGTTTTTTTCCTGTGATACACTCTCACATATTACTGTGATTGATTGGATATCAATGCTGCCAGTTTGCTACATAGCGGGGTTTTTTTAAGCTTTCACAGTCAAAATACTCCCGAGGATGAGAGGTGGGGAGAGGGTGGAGGCTGGGAAAGTGTTGTATATTTGTATTTTCCAATATACTATTTCCGTTCTTTTTCAAAGCCAAATAGCAAAGATGAATTTAGCTCTCGAATTAGGATTTCTCCTTATTAGCTGGGAGTGGAGACCTTACTTCTAGATCTTTTTTCTTTACCTGTGAAAATTTTGCTACTGGATTCACCAGCAAGCTGTGTAAAGCACAGTTCTGTAGCTCTGCAGATAGCGGGAGAGTCCATACACATATCTGAAACTCAGGAAGCTATTGGATCTTCAGCAAATCTGAAGTGCAAGAAATTTCCATGGAAAGGAGGGGTGAAGAAAAATCCATACCACTACTTCTGCTATAGATATCCCAAAGAACTTGGGGTATTCAAGGCCATACTTCTAGTCATGCTTTCTAGTCATTTGCAGTTCAACAATCTCCTACAATTTAAATCTTTTTTTCATATTTTTTGGTTTTAAGGCTTATGGGCAAACTGTCTTCCCTTAACTATGGTCTAGGATTAGAGATCTGCACAAAAGCTGTTCAGAACTGATCAGTTAAGTTTTGATGATCTGAATGTTGCTTTTTGCCTGTGATATCCGGAAAGAGGGACTGTACTTTAGAGGTATCGGGAGGTGCTTATTCTATGCTGAGAGTCATTTAACAAGCTGCTTTGTTGGTCCTGAATCTTTTCTCATCTATTAAACTCTCTTAGAGGTCAGACTTTGGCCAAGCACAATGACCTCTAGCAGTATGCCTGATTAAAAAAAATTATTATTTTCTGAACAGCTTTTAAATAGAAGAATTAAAACCATATGAACATTGTGATAAAAATCTGTTTTTCCATTTTACATATATTATCAGAATTGAAGTGACCCTTATGAAAAATTTAATAGTTTTTTTTTGCATGTCTGCATTTGCTTCTGTTTAATGTTCTTATTTCCACTTGTTAATGTTATAATCCTATAATAAGGCATATTATAGTTATTGTGCAGTGTTAAGTGCTCTTGACCATGATGTACCTTTCAAAATGACTTGTGTTTCTAACTATGTGCTTTCACACCTATGTAAGTCAAAGTAATACCTTGAGTGTTGTCCTTCTGTTTGCCCTAATTTATGGAATTTGATTTCTCATGTTGTTTCTCTTCAGAGAGTCTACCTAGCAGATAATGGAACAAAATGTATAAGGAAAATAATGACAAATGCTTAGGTTTTGCCCACTAAAGGAAAGTGGTGTTGGTTTTTTGGTTGGTTTTTGTTTTTTGTTTTTTTTTTTTGAAGGGACTTTTAAAACATTTTGACCAGGGATTTTTTTTAACACCTCAATAGAATCTAAAAACAGAAGAAGAAAAATTTTAGTCCTGATTAGGTTACAGATAAACTTTGCACACAAAGTTTATGAAGATATTTGGGTGAGCTTTAAACTTAAAAATTCAGGAACTGACTAGGAATATAGCTACTATACACAGAGCAGCTTCTTAGCTGAAGATGCAGTATAGGTATATGTTTGATTTAAAGCTATTTACAACCTGTCTGATTCTTAGGATGATGGCAGAGATATTTTGCCCTCCTTCCCTGTCCTAAAGACTATGTGCCCCAGAAATTCTGCTGCTGTTGCTGTTTGAAGATTAAAATATTCTGTCTAGGTATCTTCAGCCTTCAGCTAGGATGAAACAGAAGTGGAAAATGGTGAAACATCTGTATCCATTTCTTTGCTAATGACCCACTGTTGTCTTTATTTCTTACAGATAAATTTTTGAGAACCTCCTGTCACGTTGCATATTGTAAATGAAATCACAGTTGCTAAGCTAGTGACCAGTATAAATTCCAGATAGATCTGTTTCCTTGTCTCGGCGATTACATATTTTCATTTAATTCTGGGGGGGGGCAGGGGGAAGCAATTACTATTTAGCAAAAATACAATGTAATCTTCAGTATTGTAAGAATTAACAGAAGACTACTATTAATGGAGGACTATGTCTCACCAGTGTGAGAACTCTTCTTTTTTTTTTTTTTTTTTTTTCTTTTTTTGTATGTGAAATACAAATCCAAGGCAGCCTCCAAAGGTTTGGCTGCAGGTAACTGTTTAATGCAATTATTTCCATTATTCTTGTCTCTGTTTCTAACAGCTGTTTTTAAATGCTAACAATAAAGTGGCAGACAAGAGTGAGAAAGACCTTGCCAACAAATTACTGACAGAAATGAATGAGGACCAGGTACCTACCTAACCTGTATTTTGCTTCAGTTGAAGTCAAGACACAATCACAGGAAAATTGATTCCTGTGCTTCACCTTAACCATCCTCTTTAAGCCTTCTGCAGCAAGATGAACTTGTGTTGCTGCACACATCAGTATTTCCTGTCTCTGGAAAATAATTTTTTCTGAATAACAGATTGAATTCAACTTCAGTTGAACCATCTGCTTCAAATTGCAGATATTTGCAATAGATTGAGCCTCAGTTATGTTTCTTTTAAGGAAAAGGTGAAGTACATGAATGGAATCTAAATAAATTCTATCAACCTGGTGGTGATTTTTTTTCCCCTCCCTTTCCTCTTTTTTGCTTCTTTGTCTCAGCACTGTGGTGTTTTGGATTCTGGGGCCTTGTTTGTGAATCTCAATGGTTGTATTTGATGTCCTGATTCTTTGCTTGTCATCAAGAACAGATGTTCAGAAAACAATGGACAGGCTGAATCAGGGAGGTAGGAATAGCCTGTTGCTTTAATTTTCCCAAAATACTGTGGAAAGTTTCAAATGCAAATTGTTGTTTTATTAAGTTTATAGTAGAATGATTTATTCTGATTAAAACCATAAAGAAATGCTAGATACAAGGTATGGTAATCTACAAATTGTGATTCTAACTAATAGGTTTGGCTCTTTTTGAAACTCAGTGCAACACTCTAACCACATGTAAATGTTTCTTCACATCTAACACTGTCTTCTGATTCTTGACATTTTATTTCCAAAATATGTCTGATATGCATATAATATTTCAGAGATGACGAAACAGAGTATGTTTGTTTGCACAGTTTTGCTAATTAGGTTTATTGATGGATGCGAAATAGTGCTCCAACATTTTTGTCCTTAAAACCACCATAGAAATATCAATATAAACAAGAATTATAGGAAAAAAAACCTCAAAAGATGACTTAAATTCGAAAAAGAGAATGTTGATCAATGCGATAAGGCTATGGGTGAGGCAGCCACCTTACTGTGCTGGTGTGACTTCATCTCTTATAAATTGTGTGTGTGTCTTGAGTAGGGACTTGTATGGAAAAGAAAACACTTTATGTGAACTGCAGGTGCCTGATTGTCCAGCAGCACACACACACATACTGCAAGAGGTTTCCTAATTTGTTTTCCTCCCTCCCTCTTGAGGTTGTCCATTAGCCGCATGAGGAAAACCTGTTTGTCCATCAGAATATTTGAAGTGCAATGTGTGTTGTGAATGCTTCTCTCCTCTTGAAGTATGTGGTTAGTTGTCTACTGTTATGTAATTCCTTGTAGGCCGTGGGGTTATGAAATCCTGACCGGTGGGGAGATGATTTTTGAAGCATGTTAGCAAACTCTTGGTTTCCCTCCTGGCAAGAGGGCACAGTATAGATTTTGGAGCTGAACTGTCTTTGCGCATTTGTATATAACTTCTGTACCTGCTACTTTCAGGTGTTTCAGGGACACCTAGACTGCTTGGCAGTATCAACCATTCAAGCCCTCACAGCAGTAATGCACAAGTCTCCGGCTGCTAAGGTAACAGTATATATGCAGAGGACTGTTTGCAGTAGGCTTTTTGATGTTGTTTCCAGTTAGTGTTTTTATCACAATATCTTGATGAATCTTGCTAATGAAGATGAGCAGATTGTGGTCACGCAAGCTGATTAGCACCCCTTATCCCTTTATATGTGTCTAATGGCTGGACACTGAGCCATCTTTCTATCAAAACTGGAAGATCAGAATGTTAATGGCAGTTGGAACCTTTGTAAAGGAAGTACATTGTTACTTGTCCCATGAATATGTGGGGTAGAATTAATGGATATTTGCAGGAATTTTCAGGCAGGAGTTTGTGTTGTAGTTTTATCATGGCTTTAAACTAACCCAAGACAGTATTGCTGTCCAAATGGTGGTCTTGCCATTCCCCTGCCCTTCCTTCATCGTTATTCTTGTGGTTTGATAAATGGATAGGTTGTGGTTAGTTTGTGAATCTGACTGGAAGCTAAGCCCACAGAAAAGTAGTGTATTTATTCTTAGATTGCTGAGTTCATTAGATTCACACGGTGGTTGAATGATTCCCTAGTCTTGCTACAGGGGAAAGGATGTGGTTGCACAGTGGAGGCTAAAGGAAGAATGGGAGTCATATGATTTGTTTGCTACTTGCTGTACAGTCTGAGTGAGAAACGACAGGGTCAGTTATGCTCCTCCAGAGCATTACTCAGAGTGCTTATTTCTCCACTGACTCTGGAAAGCCTGGGAAGAGTTGTATGTTGGAGGTGGGGACTGGCTGTGATTCACAAAGGGTCAGTAAAGTTTTCAATTGTACTTCCACTGCAACACATCTATTTTTTCTTTCCGTATTTACTTAAGCAATCATGTCATTTCTGCTGACAGATTCATCCTTTAAAAAAAAAAAAGAGTTCTTAATTCCAATGCAGAATACAGCTGGGAGAAGAGTATCCATTCCATATGATGTTGTGCTGGTTTTGGCTGGGATAGAGTTAATTTTCTTCATAGTAGCTAGTATGGGGCTATGTTTTGGATTTGTGCTGAAAACAGTGTTGATAACACAGTGCTTACGCAGTGAGCAGTGCTTAGACAGAGTCATGTCTGCTTCTCACCCCACCAGTGAGTTGGCTGGGGGCGCACAAGAGGTTGGGGGGGAGATGCCGAGTTGGTAGAGCATGAGACTCTTAATCTCAGAGTTGTGGGTTTGAGCCCCAAGTTGGGTGCCAAAAAGGACTGTCATGGTTTAACCCCAGCTGGCCACTAAGCACCACACAGCCTCTCGCTCACTCCCCCCCCAGTGGGATGGGGGAGAGAAACAGAAGGGTAAAAGTGAGAAAACTTGTGGGTTGAGATAAAGACAGTTTAATAGGTAAAACAAAAGCCACGCACACAAGCAAAACAAGGAATTTATTCACTACTTCCCATCGGCAGGCAGGTGTTCAGCCACCTCCAGGAAAGCAGGGCTCCATCACGCGTAACGGTTACTTGGGAAGACAAACGCCATCACTCCGAACATCCCCCCCTTCCTTCTTCTTCCCCCAACTTTATGTGCTGAGCATGACATCATATGGTATGGAATATCCCTCTGGTCAGCACAAATCCGAAACATAGCTCCATACTAGCACAGATGTGTTGGTTGTTTACTAACTAAACCATAAATGGATGCTTGATTTTTTTTTTTTTTTTTTCTTCATGTAAAATCAACTAGTTTTCAGAAAAAATTCCTTGGAATGCTTTTCTAATTTTTGAAGTGTTTAAAATCGGTGGTTTTTAATCAAGCTGGTCTAGGAAAATCTTTCCTTCAAAAATTAGTATCTGAGTACTTCTAATTCTCAATGTAATCACTTCATTTCATGCTATAGTCTGCATTAAAAAATGAAACTGTTAGTATTTTGTGGTAGAATTAACATTTTGATTATACCAAAGCAATTATATTCTTGTATAGGTAATGATTTAAATATAACTTTGATCTTTTATTTGTTTATCTGCATACTGCAGTGAGAGCCTTCTCATCTGCAGCATGCTAGAGACAGTACAATGGACATACTATCAAAAAGAGATTTCTAGCCTGTAAAACGTTATTCTTGCATTCTAATTATTTTGTGTCTAATATTGTGTTAAATTAGAACCTGCTGCAGTAGATGGGCAATTTTTGTCCATTTTATTTGTTAGTGAGACTGGGATTTTTATCCTCAGGAGGTCTTCAAGGAGAGGATTGGTTATGCACACATATATGAGGTACTAAAATCACTGGGTCAACCCTCACGGGAATTGCTGGAAGAACTCATGAATATGGTGAGATGTGCTTGCTTTGAATGCCAAAATGCTTACATCTTTTCAACAGTACTTCTAGCCCTAATTTATTGTATTTCATGTCTGAGTTCTCTGCTGTTTTTCAGGCTGTTGAAGGTGACCACATGGCTGTTGGGATACTAGGCATTAGTAATGTCCAGCCCTTATTGCTGCTTATCCAGTGGCTTCCAGAACTAGAATCACATGACCTGCAGATTTTCATCTCAAATTGGTTGAGGCGAATCTGCTGTATTAACAGACAGAGTCGTGCCACGTGTGTCAATGCAAACATGGTCATCCGTATCATTGAGACACTAAATTCCCACTCTGCGCTCCATTGTACTTGTGCAGAGAACCTGATAGCCCTTCTGGGCTCTTTGGGGAGCCAGTCAATGGGCTCAGAAGAACTGCTTCAACTAATACGGCTTCTGAGGACTGAGGAACCAAAACGAGCTCACCCTTATGTTGTTCCAGTGATGCGAGCCATTCTAGCAATGGCCCGGAAGCAGGGCATGGCAAGTGCCTTGCAGTATTTCAACTTGTACCACAGCATGGCCGGAATTGCTGTTCCATCAATTCATAAGTGGCCAGGCTCTGCATTTTCTTTCAACGCTTGGCTCTGCCTTGACCAGGACCGGGTGGACCCTAGCACGACTAGCAAAAGTGGCAAGAGGAAGCAACTCTATAGGTATAGTTACTATAATTACTTCAACAGCACAAATCTAGGTCATCTGTTCCCTACAGCATATGGTACCCTATGACATGTGGTACTTCTGCTTATCTTCATAGAATGCAATATATAGTGCTTAGTTTGTGAAAGGGAGCAGTTTCATCTGCCACGAGAGCCAGGCTGTGTTGCAGAAATAAGCATTTAGTTTCAGTTATAATGCTTTCTTGTCTACAGTTTCAATATCCATAACTCCAAATTGTGTTAAGGTTCATAGCTTAAACAAACAAAACAACCAAAAAAAACCAAGCCAAAAACGCAAAAAAACCCCAAACCAAAACCCCCACCCCAAAACAGAACAGCCTTCCCACTGTTTTCTGAAAAGATAATGAAATCTGTTTTCAATATGAGAGCATAAAGAAAAGGACACCTTTATTTGCTTAAATAATAGACATTGACATGGATGGTTCTTGGTATAATTTAACTTTCTGGGTACTAACATTCAGCAGCAAACAAAATGCAGAATGGGGGAATACTAGTTGAAGAATCTCTTGCTCCCTTCAGTCCATTTTATTGTAGTGCAGTTTCAGGGGAAATGTTGAAGAATGCAATTCTAGTCATAACAGAATTAGTATTTTCCATACCCTTGTGTCTTAGAGTGTTAACTTCTGTTCATTAGTAACCGTGGCAGCAGGTGGAGACCCCTTGGATTTCTGTAGCTGCCCTGTGTATTTGTATAGCACAGCCCTGATGAAGGGTGCCACCTGATGAACTGCTACAACACCGTTTCTGGTGTTTGTCAGTGTGCCCCACTAAAGATCTTAAGTAGACTGTAGTTCTGGAAAACTTGGGTGGAATTGCACTACAAAGTAAAAAAGCTGCAATTGGATTTCAATGTGATGCTATTATACCAATAACTGACTGGTTTTCTATCATTTTACGTACAATTTTGAAGACATTGTCTAGTTTTGGGAAGCTAAAACAGTAGTGTATTGAAATTAATACGAAAAAGGGAAATATTTAAAATTCCAGTTTCAGCTTGAAACGTTAAGCAGACAACTGAATTAAAATAATTAAAAATTGATCTAGCCACTATGTTTTACAGTGTTGAATTGTAAGGCAGCTTACATCTCTTGAGATTGTCTATAATATTCATGCTCTCTGTGTGTATATTTGTGTTTTATATTGATAGATGCAGATATTTGATAGTACAGTAGATAATGCATCCACTTGGAATAATGGTGCCTAAGGGTGTGTAGCAGGTTTTGATAGCAGTTCACGATTTATATATCATTTTTTGTATTCAAGTACTTAAAAAATGAAAGGTTTCTCAAGGCAAACCTGTGCTTGCAGGGCTTATTTATAGATAGCTGCTTACAGCTGATTTTCTTCATTATATGAGTGAAATAATATATATAACAATGACTACATTTACATTTTGCACTCAGGTGAGGTTCTTGCTGATAGATAATCACAGATAAAAAAAATCATGGATGACACTGTCTCATCAAACAGTTTTAATGCAGATTCGTCTATAAAATTAAGGATCGAATTTTCTGCATTTTCAGGAAGAGTTATTCCATGTGCTGTTTTGGTCTTTAAAATAAATTAAATATCTGTATACAATGCTATGATATGAAACAAGGAAAATGGATAAAACTTATCTACTAACTGTAATAGTAATGTCACGAATCTGCATGCAATATTGGCAGCTTTACCAGGGGCTGTTGGACACAATTTAATTGATAGAAAACAGCACAGGTTGCAGGCCAGTCTCTTCTTTATCTTTATCTTCTTTATTGTAGCTTCCAGAGACTACAGTGGGCAGGACTTTGTAGCAGAACCAGCTTAAGCTGTGTGGGTCAAACTGAAGGTCAAACCTGTTGGGACCCAGGTTATGTTTTCATGTAAAGATGGATGGCTACAAGCTGCTTTGAGAGCTTGGGTAGGAAGGTTCTATAGAGGGACCTGGACAGGCTGGATCGATGGGCTGAGGCCAACAGTATGAGGTTCAACAAGGCCAAGTGCTGGGTCCTGCACTTTGGCCACAACAACCCCATGCAATGCTATAGGCTTGGGGAAGAGTGGCTAGAAAGCTGCCCAGAGGAAAAGGATCTGGGGGTGTTGGTCGACAGCCGGTTGAATATGAGCCGGCAGTGTGCCCAGGTGGCCAAGAAGGCCAATAGCATCCTGGCTTGTATCAGAAATAGTGTGGCCAGCCCGAGTAGGGAGGTGGTCATGCCCCTGTACTCGACACTGGTGAGGCCGCACCTCGAATACCATGTTCAGTTTTGGGCCCCTCAGTACAAGAAAGACATGGAGGTGCTGGAGCGTGTCCAAAGAAGGGCAGCGAAGCTGGTGAAGGGTCTAGAGCACAAGTCTTATGAGGAGCAGCTGAGGGAGTTGGCTGTTTAGTCTGGAGAAGAGGAGGCTGAGGGGAGACCTTTTCGCTCTTTGCATCTACCTGGAAGGAGGTTGTAGCGAGGTGGGGGTTGGGCTCTTCTCCCAAGTAACAAGCGATAGGACGAGAGGAAATGGCCTCAAGTTGCACCAAGGGAGGTTTAGATTGGATATTAGGAAAAATTTCTTCACCGAAAGGGTTGTCAAGCCTTGGAACAGGCTGCCCAGGGAAGTGGTCGAGTCACCATCCCCGGAGGTGTTTAAAAGACATGTAGATGTGGTGCTTAGGGACATGGTTTAGTGGTGTTAGATTAACAGTTGGACTCTATGATCTTTAAAGGTCCTTTCCAACCTCAATGATTCTATGATTCTTTCTGGATCACCTTTTGGCCTGCGTGTCCTGTGCCTTGGGGTCCCTTCCCTGAGGAAGTTCTTGGTCTTGTTTTTTTTGGAACAAGAGTAATAGCTAGTCAAATAGTAAATATTGGACCAGCGACAAATGGCTTTAGTTGGTTCTCTCCTTAGTGAATGTACTGTTAGGTGATTTCCAATAGTTTTGATGAAGTAAGTCCTTGATTGTGTGTTTTGTCTTTTTTCTGTAGCTTTTTTACAGGAAGTGGTATGGGTTTTGAAGCATTTATTACATACTCTGGGGTATTGGTGGTCGCAGTTTGCACGAAGAGGGAATATGCAACAGTGATGCTGCCTGACCATTGTTTTTTTGACTCTCTCTGGGTAAGATTTGATACTGGAAAACACTTTGTTTAGGATAGTACTCTTAGCTCAGAAGTCAAAGTTCATTTTTTTAGTTGTTTTACAAATAGTCTATTTTATCATATTTAAATAATTCATTGCATAAGAACAGATCTAATCTCAAATAATGCAAGCAATTTCCATGTAGATTAGTGGTTGATTGAGCTAAATTATGCCTATGTTATTAGGCGTTTGTTATTGATTACAGCATTGTGTTTAGAGACTTTTTTAACATGCAGATTTTTATAATATTAAATTATAACAAGCACAGGTGGCTGTGGTGCTATGTGAATGAATAAAATGTGCTACTGTGTTGCTGCCTTGCCCATTTCTGTTTCCATACTTAAGGACTGATGTGCATTATCATGAAAGAGCTGTATCTCTTTCCCCTCAAAAACCTCTTTACATGTAAATTACTTTAAAATGGAAGCAGCTGATAAGTGGTCTTATCTTCTTATTGATGCTTTGGATTTATTTTCTTAAGTGGTTTCCTCACCAGATTAGTAGAGATGAAGTTAAATACTTCCATACAGTCATTTCACTGCTTTTTAATAGTGACTTAATTATTTTATATTGCTTAACCAGCACAACATAACTATTGTTCACATGCCTGGAAAGAGGCCTTTTGGTCAGAGCCTTGTGTACATCTACGTCAATGGACAGCAGAAGGTCTCTGCCCCACTTCGATTCCCTGCCATGAATGAAGTAAGCTCACCTTCTGAGTCATACCCCTGTCCTGATGAGCTCTCATAGAACAATGAGAACCTAGCTGGCTTTTTTAATTTGGAAATTGTGTAAGAATTTAAGATAGCTTAGCCTATTGCTAATAAGCTTTTGATCAACTTTGGACAGTGTCTAGGGTATCAATTTGGCGTATAACTAACCGTTAATCAGTGCTTGTTTAGTCATCTCCGATTAAAAACAAAACAAAAAACCCCAGATTACCTTGATTAGATTGTGGGGTTTTCCCCAACATAATTACCTAAACATACTGACATAATTTACGATGAGTAAATCATAGTAAATCACACCTCTGCCAGTGGGATTGGTGTGACAGTACTCAATGAGGAATATTCCCAGTTGTTTTCAGCAGTAACTTTTTTTACTTGTATTTTCTGTATGTTCCCTTAATATGCTAGTCTTATACCTGCTTTGTTAGCTGGATAAGCAGTTTACATGCAGTTAATCTAACCATTTTGAATGTGTGCACAGTTAGCCTAAAAAAACAAACTAGCCATTAAAATGAGTGTATGTCATGTTTAGTTTTCTTTGTAAGCATTGTCCATACTTTTTGTGGAACAAATCCAATTTAAACTGGGCTACAACACTGAACATTCTTCCCTCTTTTGTAAGTCCTAATTTGATATTTGTTAAATATGTTAAGCAAACACTTAAATTGGACACAGTCATAGTAAAATCAATATAACACTTAAAAAATGAGAATAAATGTAAATTCCATTGTGAGATAAAACTATGGATTAAAACTCTGAATAAGCACTGTAAATATCAAGGTAGCTAAAAGTAGGGCAGGTAAGCTTCCCATGAGAGCATGTATTTGAGTGGAATAACTGATACGAGAAATATACAGTAGCAGGTATGCTGGGCTAGTATTTTGGAATATAATCCAGAAGAGGAATGTTTACCAGGGTATCTGGAGCACCATCCTTCCTGGCTTTGCTCCTGCCAGAGGTCACACAACAGTTGAGGTGACCAAATTGCTCTTAATTGGAGAAAGGGCACTCTCTGCTGTTGTGGAAAGTATATGCTTTTTTTTTTTTTTGGCCTACTGTGCTGGATTGCTTCTTTTCCAGGGCACGCCAGAACTTGTTGCTCTTGGTTTAATTTATTTAGTTCAGGTTTGCCAGAGATTAGTTTTCAGATTTACTTTGTAAACTGTGAAAAAAGGAGGTTAGATTTACAGTATGTGTTTTGTTTTCTTCCATGCGTGACTCTCCAGTCTTTTACTTCTTGCTGCATTGGTTCAGCTGGTCAAAGAACAACAACTCCTCCTCCATCTCAGATACCAGATCCACCTTTTTCCTCCCCTATTATGCCCCATCGGACATCACTTGGGGGCATTCTCTCTACAGGAAGTTGGGGTGGGGTGCTTGGAAAACCAGAGCTCATCACCAAGATGATCTCAGCGGGGACTCAGGACAGTGAATGGGGATGTCCAACGTCTTTGGAGGGCCAGCTTGGATCAGTTATCATCTTTCATGAGGCACTGCAACCTCCTCAGGTGAAAGCATTATATTTAGCAGGTAAGTGGTGATTGAACTGGTCTTAGTGGAATAAAAAGGATAAGTTATGGACAAGACCCCACTGAGCTTTGCTCTACACAGACACATAATGAAGAAGTTACAATCTAGAATTGCAGAGCTGACCGAAGTGAGAGGGCCTTATAACAAATAAGCTTAAAATGGAATGATAAGTATTCTATAAAGTTTTATTTAAAATGTTATGTTTGCATAAGCTGTTCTATTTATCATATGTACAGACCTGCCAAAATCAAAATGGTAGGTATTATTTTCACTTGTAAGTTCTTAATTTTTGCTACTGTTTGCCTACATGTGAGTTTACAGTTGAGACTCTTCGAAGTATTGCCCTTGTTTTGATAAGCCACTTAAAGGTGATTTATGCTTGAGGATTTTTCCACAAGAATCAATTAATAATTAAGGGGTCATTTAAAAAAAAAAAAATTCTGATAAACTATGTCTCACAGTTCAAGGTGTTAAGATATTAAGTTCTATAATGACTTGAGGTTGTTAGAGATTAACATAAAACCACTTCTGTTATTTAAAGGAAATATTTTGTATTACTAAACAAAACTATCTTAAAGATTACTCATTTTCTGGCTATTTGGGCTTGATGATGGAAAGATTGGTGGCAAATGTGAGATAGGTATTTGTAAAGACAGAAACATTAGAGCTATTTGAATGTATAAAAAAACCTTCTTTGTATAGTTTAGCTTTTTATCAAGAATGTATTTCTTTTTAAGCAGACCCTATGGAATGAATGATTTAAGTCATAGAGATTACTTCAAACCATGTCTCAAATAGGTATGGTTCAGAGTGTCCTATTTGTTGTTGCAGCAAAGTATAGTAGTATAAAATTTGTGACGGTCAACATTAATATCCAGTGGACTCTTATATATATGCTATAAATATATAATTTTATATATAATTTTTTTTTTTTTCATAGGTCCA